ATATAAGAATAATGATAAATTAAACTTTGACATAACTTTTTAATTAAGCATATTTTAAGAAAATATAAATAAGAGTTTTGAAAAAACTGAAAATATATATGAAAATTGACCGGATTAAATATTTTTCTCTCAAAATATATTAAATTTTCATTTTGATTATATGAAAATATTTTTGTTTGTATATTTTAAAATTATAATTTTTTTTCTCGCTAATGTAACCTCACGAAAAAGTGACATAGTACAAAAATTGATATTTCACAATGTTCGAGTTAGTCCCAGTATCATTTAACAATTCCTAAGATCAAAACTAATATTATATTAAAATAAAAAATATGTATAAAGATTAAAATTAAAATTTAGTATATTTTTAAAATATAATTATTCTAAAATAATAATAAAGAGTCCCAAACAAATTTTTTCTCACATTAGACACTCAGAAGAAAATCGTAGCATATGCATTAATGCCTATTATCCATTAATTTATCTGACACCCAAAAAACTATGATTTTATATTTTAATAATTATATTAAGAATTTTCAAAATAAAACTCTTCCTACAAATTGCTCTCTTTTTTCGTTATTTCTCCACGAACAGATCCCAAAAGGTTAATCTCACAAAACTGGATGATACAATGCAACTAAGTTAGCCAAACACCTTATTTTTATTCTTAGGTTAGAGATATGTAAAGGGGAGGGGAAAGAGAGAATAATTGCGTTTATAATTTTCCCTTCTTCTTAGACTTAGACTCAATGTTGGTTTGCTACAAACTAAAGTTGTGTGGAAAGGCCAAGACATATGAATTTGGTCTTTGGTAGTTAAAGGACGAGTAATCATTAGTGCATAAAATATTTCTTAAATCGGTTATTTTAATATATTTTAAATCAATGACTTTTTAAATTAGTTAATTTTTTTAATAATAAAAAAATACATCAATTAAATTTTAATTAATATTATACAATTAAGCATAAAAAAGAATCAGACCAAGATACACTGATATCCTTCAAAATTGTCATGCATAAAACCTATAAAATCACTAAGAGATAAAAAAATAATAATAAATTATACACCTTTAAAGTTTAAGATTAAAAAAGTTTGAAAATTAATGACTCTTTAGAATTAACCAATGTAAAAAGACAAGATAAAAAATTCTTATGCAAAGTTTGGAAACAATGAAACTTGTATTTTTAAGCTTTTGTTTGCATTTTTAGATACAAATATTGACAAACATTGATCTCATTCCAGTTGAAGTATATCATTATTAACATTTTGAACTTCATTTTGTTTTTTTTCTTTATTAACTCATTTGTTTTAATACGACATTAATAAAGATTATGTTCTTTATTTACATAATCAACTAAAAACGTGAATCTCTTTGCATTCTTCAACTTCTATTTGTGATTTTGAGAATAACAAATACTAATATTGCCGGAGTTCAAGTTTATTCTTGCCTATCTAAAACTTGTAGTCAAATAAATTAAGCTATCAATTACTACACTACCTTTTCCTTGGTAAAAGATTACTGCACTATCTTCTTGACTAGCTGTAAATGAATTGAAAAGTCAAAGAGTACAATTATGTAAAGCAAATTACTGCTGAAGTTTTTCTGCACCTCTGCTACTAGACTTTTCTCAGCATATTAAGATTAATATTTTATTGTATGAAATTTGCTTATAAAAGGTCATCTATGTAACATGAACTAAAGTTTTCACATATGAATATTAGAGATTCTCTCTTCTATCGTGCGTTAGTTTTGTGAATTTATTTAGACCAATTTTATACCAAAGCTTAATTCTGTGTTTTCATCTTTTTGTATGGCTGAGTCCTAATTTCGTATTTGTAACTCCACAAAGTTTTCATGAGACTAAAACTCCATATTAATCTATGTAGAAAATCTATACATTTTAAATAGCAGTGGGATGATGCTTCTTATGCGCATCGTGAGAGGGGGTTTTGAAACCAAGGCATTTCTTGTGTTTTGAAATCTCTATATCCTGCATGTTTTTAACGGGTTCTTTTGATTTGGCTTTTGATTTGGGTTCTTTGTTTCTGTTTTTCATTCCAATACCATTAGTTTACCTGTATTATTCTTATCTCACTTTTTTTAACTATTTTTATTTCAATTTTACCTGCTATTCTCAGTGACAATTTTTATTGATCTTGAATAATGAGTCATCAATTTTTAATCTTATCCGTCTAATATTTTATTAAAATATTAACGATCCAAATTACTTTATGTTTTGGTCCTCTATATATGCTAAACTATTAATGAGAGTACACTAGAATCACTCCAAAATGCTTAAACCAAAATATGCTCGATTATGATTGCGAGTAACGCACTCCCAAACTGGCTTGGTCTTAGTAGTGAATATCCACATTCTCGAGATGCTAGCATGCTGTTGAAAAAAGACAAACTCTAAGTACACTATTATGAGTATTTTTTATATTATTTTTAATTTTTAACAATATGTATCAATTTTTAATATTTTTTATTATGTGAATTATTAAAAAATAAATTTGATTATAAAACAACACTTAAAAATACTATAATATTATACTTTTAAAGTTTTGTGGTTTTGAAAAAGGGGCCGAGAGACTCAGAGGAAAACCCGCAAAAGCATGATCATGGCTAAACAATTGTAATGGGTGACCAAAACAATAATGCTCCTTTTCAAAAGAAAAATGATGGCTATGATGGCACGCAGTTATTCAGCTTTAACAAGCTTCTCACGTAATGGATAAGAACATAAAATACCCAAAATAAATTATATTTTTTAAAGAGACAGGATCTTCTCAGTTTAAAATCTCTTACATAAATTTTTCATTTATCTTATATCGAATATAAAAATTTTTAAACTTATATTATAAGAAAATTTTTCTTTTTTTTTAAATTATATTTACATTATATTTTTATTTTAAAAAGTTTACTACCATTTTAATAAATGATAAAATATAAACTTCAATTCACTTTTACATGCTAAAAATTGAGTATTTATAAAATATTTTTAAGAGATTTTTATTTTACGTTTAGTATTATTAGTAATTAATTTTAAATATATCATCGAAACGATAGGTGAAAGAAATGTCTGCGGTGACCAATGCGATACATGAAATCAGAATTCATATAAATGAAAAATATGAAATGCAATGAATATTTGTATCTATTAAAATATATGAAAAAGATTGAAAATGTTTCTTGATTTAATTTATCAGAAAATTATTTTATTTATACGTGTTAATATTATTCATGTTAAAATATAACTCAAAATAATACAATAAAAAATTTATGTGAATTAGAGTTTTTATGTGCCAATAAATTTATCATTTTCAATTTTCGAAACTATAATCTATGTAAGAAAATAATCACGGGATGGGTGTGCAGCAACTTATAAAAAAATTTATTAAAAAATCGATTTAAATAGTTGTAAAAATGAAAATTCATAATTTAAAAAGGTTATGAAAAAGTAAAAGAGTGAATTGTAGAATGTTAGAGCATATTATCGTATGAAATGAAATCCATAAAATAAACGAAAGAAATATTTTTAGAATAACATTTATTTGCCTATATAATTTAATTATTTTAATACTTTCATTTAGTATTTTTATGCCAAGGTGATGTAAATATTTATTTCAGTAGATTAATTATTAATACATTTATATGTAAATATTTTGTCCCTGTAACACAAATATTTATTCTATGATTTAAAATAAAATTTCCATATCTTCTTACCTATTAATTTTAGACAGTAATATTCTTTTATCGGGATACATACATATTTGTAATTTTAGTTTAATATATTTTATGTAAAATATTTTCCCTCGATATTAAATAAACTTTTACCATTTATTTTAAATATTAAGATGACTTAATTTAAATTTATTTCTTGGTATGAATACAACTTTTATCCGTATTTAGAAAAACCAAATTCAAAGATTTGAGTTTGAGATTTTCTTTTGTAGAATAAAGTTAAGAGCATAATAAGCATAATTTAATAGAAGAGTTCGGAAAGATATCAAAAGTCAGTGATTTAAAAGAGATAATGTATAATGAAAGACATTAAAATTGGGAAGATAATGAAAGATTGGTGGTAGACAAGCAAACTTGCGGATATGGTCAAGGAAACGAAACGAGTGAAGAATAGTAACACTAAAAAGAAAAAAAAAATTATCTTTGGTGAGTAATTGGTGCGAGTGGATGATTGATGAAACAAAATAGAAGAAAAGTCCTGTCTATGGATGGCACTTGGAAATAGTACAGTCATGAAGATTATACAAATAAATTAGCAGTGGTTATGGCTGTCAATAGCTTTTTGTTCAAATGCGTATGAATCAAGAGACATCACATTCTTAAATTCTAGAATTTTTGGAAGAAATATTCGTTTGAACTTCTAATTGATGTCCTTTTATATGGATTTCATACCTTTTTAATCCATATTTGACTACCAATGCTTCCTTACAAGTGGTTTGTTAGTGCAACTCTGCTTACTTGAACTGGTTAAAAAAAATATCGATCTCACGGCCTCACCCCCTTAAAACTAAGATAAACAACTAATAATAACACATTTTCATTTTAAAATATTTTTCATACTATTATAATTTTAATGTACTAAATTAGTTCCTTCTCAATAAAACTTAACTACTTTCGCATGCTTAAACCCAACTCAATTAAAGAAAAACTCAACTCCAAAGACAAAATTAACAAAACCCAAAAATAAAAGTTATGGATTATTACATAGTGCAATAAAAAAAACCCTTCCAAATTTGTAACATCATTTGTCGTTTTAAATCGATTGAAAACCTGACGCTAATCCTAGGAATCAACTCTGGACGGCAATGCACATCGATAGAATTTCGAAATTGAATAGGGGAAGAAAACATATTGCATCATCACTATGGGATGAGTATATGCATGCAATAATCTACCGAGCATACATGCATCACTCAATAGTTTGGTTGAAAAACGCGAGATGTGCTTGTCTACAAGACAGACTAAAATAACCAAACAAAGAATTAGAATTAATCCATCAGAATAAATCCCAGACATCGACTGCAAAAATTACATAGCAATTACAATTGTATGAATTCTGAATATTCGACATAACATGAGAGGCCCTACCTACCCTTCAATGGATTCCATCTTCCAACTCTAGAACTGAGTAAGAAAACACCAGAAGCTAGTATATATTCTTTACACAGTTTCGGTGCTGGAATGTCTGGATATCATTCAACGTTAAAAAAAAAACAATAACAACTATCAAGTGTAAAGAAATAAATTCGGCTGCACAGGCTAAAGACCATTGCTCAAATTAAGCATAGATATTAGCATAAGCCAGTCTAACTAACATACCTGGAGCACAACCAAATACGTCTAGAAGTCATAAAACGACGTAGCTAGATTATCCAACACTGCAAGCACTTTCTATTTGATTAATTGTAAATGCCCATTCTTAGCTAAAAGACCATGATCTAGTCTACACGTCTTAAAAATTCCTAGGATCTCTTGCAGAAAATGTAAATTCAGAAATACATTGCCACAAACGGGCTCCCCTTGTACAACCAAGCAAAAGAAAGTAAAAGATTGTCCAAACTTTAGGTCAAAATAATAGAGGAACAACTGAAATTAAAATCAATGCAGGACGCAAAGGGAAAAAAAAATGGCTTAGCAGCATCGTTACACTTTCAGTTGGTCAAGACTCAAGAGACTTCATTTGTCTATTCATATAGCCATTTGTTTATCAAGAAAAGTTAATAGGCCCATTATAGTAATTACAAATTTCAAGTTTAATTAAAACAGATAATAGGGATCTCAAAGTCTAAAAGAAAAAAGTCCTTTCATTATTGTATTGATATTGGTTCTTAACAATAATCCGACAATGAATTGGTTTATGCCTCTGACTACTCATAAATCCTGTAAAAGATGTAGTTTATCATATCTAAGCCAAATTCTGTGCAAAAATCCAGTAAAGGCATCTAACCAAATCCTTAGGGAATCAATGCATCATGCTACCCAACTGAACACAGAAATGAGGCCAATTTTGTAATGCAATGACGATGGGAAGTAACCATCCCACAAATACCAAGTCCCAGCCACTTCAGTATATGCGCAGCAATATTCCATGATGAAACCCATTAAAATTTAATAAGGAACTGAAAATATTTCAGATCTTGGGAATGAAGGAGGTGGGTGTTTTTGTGTGTTTTAGTGGAAAATGTTGACACTAGACCTTATGACTGATTTAAAGCATTTATGAGTTGCAAGTTTATTAAAAAAAAAGTATTTACTACACTTTTGTATTTCCAATGTAATAAAAGTTTTTCACTAAAAGCTTATTACTTGTATATGCTTAAAATTAATCCTAAAGGCTGAAAGCAAGTCTTTACTCCAGCTAAAAGTCCTAAGGATGCTGACCCACACAAAAACAAATATTCAAGACATTTTTCAACAAAAAGCCAAACAACAAAATTTGAGAAATTTATCACAAAAAAAATGGTACCTGAAAGGCAACTGAAAAGCTCAAAAAAATCACTCCTAACTATTCTAAAACAAGACTGCAGCAAGATAAGGCTACATAAACAGAAACACCCTCAGAAAATCCTAGTGAATTTATATTGAAAACAGAATGCATGAATAGCAAGCATCTTATATCCAAGTCCTGTTCCACTGTCTCTAACCCAACCTTTAAGCCGCTAAGCATGACACCTTACATCTTTGGCTGCATTCGGTAACCATTGTGGTTTTTGAACAAATTAGTACCTCAATAAATCGTATTACACCTTAAACTTCTAGGTGTAACATAATCATTAAATATTCAAAAGACAGGCACTGGTCCATGCTAGATCCAAAGTAGCATTCTGATTGCTTTGCTCCCACCGCCTATTCACAACAATAAACATTCTAAGACTACAGAAAGAGAAACGACCTAGTAATATTCAATGCAAGAAGAAAATGCTTCCAGTTCTATTTGATATGGTTCACAATATGTTTCATAGAACCATCCAAAATAAATATAGCTGACAATTAAAACACTGGGTACATCCTTAGATGCCCACAACATTAGATATTCACACTCTAAATCAACAGTGATTTTATTCTCAGTCGGTGCCAATACTACATCAGAAAGAAAAGAAAATGTAGATCTCCCCACAGATACCCAAATTAGTAATTACTTAGTATCAAAAAGAACTTAATCAAATGGGTCATTTTCCCCATAACCATGACAATATCCATGAAACTCATTCCCAGCCTTTCACTGTACCTAATCCCTAGTCTCGATCTTCCAATAAATTCAATAACAAAGTTTTCCATAAAACGGCTGCTTCCATATGGACATCAATAAATATTTGAAGATCCCACCCAATCAAAAGGACTTCAAAATATGGTAGCTTTCGGTTCAGATCAAAATTAGCTCCTAGTAATGAAATGAAACTGTAAGCAAACTCTCCAACACCTTCATAAGAATCAAAAGAGGTTCCATATGCATATTCAAATATCAAACCTTGCCTATCACTTTGTAAAAAGATAAACCCATCACTTGAAAGATTTTTCTTCCAATAGTCCTTTAAACTATCTGATCATCAAAGTTATACTTGATGATTCAAAATTATATTGTACATTCAACAAAGCATCCTCAAATACAAGTCCCTGACCTAATCATACCTAGGTAAAGGAAGAAAATCTAGCCTATTCGATATAAATCTTATTAATAGCTTACTCCAGGACCAGAGAGACGACTGACAACCTACACGACAATCAACTTAGTCTATACCAACTATAATCTAACAGATATATAGAAACAAACCAGGTGGAATGGGAATAAGAGAGATGGGAATAAGAGAGAAGGGTATAAAATAAACAAACAATTTCAAAATTGTATGCTCAAGCAACATGCTTGTATTTGGAGATGTCCATCCCATAATTCCAGAGCCACCTAAAAACAAATAAAGATCCATGAAACACTAGAAGAGAATTGACTGCTGCAAATTAGGATATAAAATTTTAAAAACAATCCTTACCATAAAGGTTCTTGACACTAATAATAGTATCCATGTCCATGTGAGCCATCACCCCCATAATAAGATGAATATGGGCCTCTACCATACTGTAACAGGAATAGCATAATACATAACTAATATTACCATTAAATTATGGGAACAATAAAAAAGGTTAAACAATGTTCACTCACATCAGAACCATAGTAGTCAGGTGGGTACTGTCTGTTCCCGGACCCAAAAGAATCTACACAGCAAACAAGAATTATCAAGAATATAACCATGCTATTGAGTAAATAAGGGGGAAAAAGGAATTGAAGGTTAGACCATGATGATGTGTTCCATGAAATATAGGTGGATCTGCATAATCCAATCGGGGACGATGTCTATTAGGCCCCATGTAATCAGGTTCAGGATCCTAAGACATGAGTACAATTCAAACAAATTAGTATTTCCCAGCTGTATAGAGTTAACATAAAAATTGTATGGAAATACAGTTACACATATAAGCAGAAATTAAAATATACTAAAACGAAATCTTACAGTCATATAAAATGGGCGTTTCATCGCATGCATATTGCCATCATATAGATATGGGTCATCAAAATGCCTTCCCATGAAAGGCATGTCAAACTGTCCACCTGGAGAGTACGGCCCTCTTGGAGGAATAGGCTCACTAGGGCCCCCATCAGGAATACCATACCAGGCTCTATCATTATAAGGTCTGGATGGACCAGCAAAAGCTGCACCTCTGCTACCTGCATAATGTCCACCCCTCACAGCTCCTGATTTACAATTTAGTAAAATAATAAAATCATTCAAAACCTTCACACCAAAATATTGACAAGCCAAAAGAAATTTCTGCTTAAAAAATAGCAAGAAGATCAACAAAGAACCTTGGGTACCAAATTGCCTCTGACGAAAATCTGGATACGTACTAAAATCACGGGTGTCCCGAAAAGCCATCCTTCCAATTTGACTGTGTCCATCATGATAGAAAGTCCTGTCCCTGTTGAAATTTCCCCAATTATTGAAGGGCTGTCTTCCCCGCCCAAAACCCCTTCCTGTAAGGATTGTAATTAGATATATCAATAAAACATGTCAACACAATCATTCAAGTTAAAAGTTAATGGAAGGAGAAAATCTATTATACCAGATCTTGGAAAGGCTCCACTCCTAGCATGACCAATTCGGAACCCACCACACATGCCACCTTTAACAGCCTGCGTTTTAGGCAATGGATTTGACAGCCTAGCTCTCACTTTTATCTGAAAAGCATGGGAAAAATCATGAAACTTTTTCACCAAATGGGAAAACTCAAGCAAATTCATGTCAAACTTAAAAGAAGAATGAAATATTAGGATGTTAGATTGACGTATGTAGCATAACATTAAGCACAAACTACTTATAGTCATGAAAATTAAGCTTTTTGAGAGAGATGGAGAGGAAAGAGGGAGACTGATTAGGAGGCAATTTCTTTCTAAGCTTTACAATTTGAAAACAACTCAGTTAGAGCTGATAGAATGCTCCTCTGCCCCATATTGCTAAAAATAGGCAGAAGCTTTGATGATGGTAAAGTAACAAACAATGCTATATACCTTTGATGCTCCATCCCCCAATTCTGATTTATTTACACCATCAACACAAGCTACAGCAGCTTCATGTGTAGAAAAATCAACAAATCCATAATCCTTCCTCTTAGCTGTAGACATATTCCGTGCTAGTACAATTCTTATTATTTCACCATAAGATTTGAACAGCTCCCTCACAAGATCTTCATCCCAGTGTAAGGGGAGACCGTTAATAAATACAGACTTCACCTGCGCCATTATCTCAGGGTCTGGTTCTCGAATGGGTTCAGCAAAGGCTACTTTGGCTGTTCGCTCAGCATGGCCAAAGATAACATCGGGCTTTTGAAGCCTCTTGTATGCAAGCATGGCATCAGCATGACAAGAGAACTCTAGGAATGCAAAGCCCCGGCTCATGCCTTCATGCTGAACATCTGGGACAAGTGTGATGCTTTCAACCCCTTCAATACCATAATCTATCAACTTCTGTTTAATCTGCCACATAAATTAAGAAATGAGTTAAAAAGCCAGGGAAATAACTATATGCAACATGAAAAAACTGCAAGACACTTACAGCTTCTTTTGTCCATGTATTGCAAATATTTCCCAAGAATAATGTGTCATTATCTTCACTAGGTGCAGTTCCACACCGTTTACCATGTATCTGTAAACAGTGGAAGGTAAAAAGATGATGGAAAAGAAAGAGAAAAGTGCAGAGTGTCAAAGAAATGAACAATCAAGAGTACAGAAACATACAACAGGGTTCTTCATTTCAGACAGAGCTTTCTTTGCATGCTCCTTATTAGCAAACTTCACAAAAGCATAGCCCTTATTTTTGTTTGTTGAAGAATTTTTATGTAACCTGACTTCAACTATCTCCCCAATCCTCTGAAAAACCTTCCTCAGATCTTCCTCTGTAGCATCCCGATCCAGCCCACCAACAAAAATCTCGTGTTCTTTTCTAATCTTCCGCTGCTTTGCAATGGCCTCCAATTCCCTATGCTCCTCCTCCAATGCCGCCTCTGTTTCTTCTTGAGGTTCCTCAGGATCTTCCTCTGGATCTTCCTCAACAAGCTCCTCCGTCCCTTGTTCTCCAAGATCTAACTTCTCATCATTCTTTGGCCCATCAACACCATCCTTTTTGGGATAATCATCTTCATCTTGCATCTGGGCTTTCATTTCTACACCAAAAGACTCAGTGTTCTCCTCCTGTCCAAAAAGGTAAGTTTCCTCTCTTGTTCCTTTATCTGGTTCCTCCTCTTTCAACTCTTGCTTTCCTTTGTCTCTTTCTAGTTCTTTCAACTCTCCCTTTCCTTTCTGTCCTTGTTCTTTTAACTCTTCCTTACCTTTCTCTGCTTCCTGTTCTTTATACTCTTCCCTTCCTTTTTCTCCTTTTAGTTCCATCAATTCTTCTTTTCCTTTCTCTCCTTCCTGATCTTTCAAATCTTCCTTTCCTTTCTCCCCTTCCTGATCTTTCAACTCTTCCTTTCCTTTCTCTCCTTCCAGTTTGTTAAACCCTTCATTTCCTTTCTTTCCCTCCTCTTTTGTCAACTCCTCCTCTCCCTCCTTTTCACCAGTACAATCTTCATTATCTGCAGATATGTTGAGGTCAACAATGGTGCGCCCAGATCGTTTAAAAGTTATAGAAGCATCCTGAGAAGCAGTTACTTCAATATCCATTATGCCCTTCCCCTTATCCCCCGATTTGCAAACGTTTTCAACAACAGGTTCATCCACTTCCAAGGACTTCTGTTCCTTCTCATCATATAATTTAACAGACCCAACACCTTGTTCCCCCTTTTTCTCACCCTCAACATCATCTGCATTCACAACTTCAACATCTCTAGGTTCTTCCACTTTCCCTGCTGGCTCTAAATTATCTTCAATTGGTGTTTCATCAGCTACTGCCTCTAATTGTTCTTCCAAATCAGGAATATCAATTACCTTAGTTCTCGGTCTCCCTGGAGTCCTCTTCTTTATAGATTTTGTAGTGCTAGCACTGGCTAACGATTTTTGCTCCACTGTTACATATTGTGAGAACAAATGAGGTCATAAAATATAGTGTATATTTAAAAAATAAAAAAGGGTACTATCAAAAGAATCAACACTTACAACCACGAACAGATACACCCCCCCTCCCTCCTCAAAATAAATAAAAAAGAGATACAAATTACTGTAGAATTATAAAAGAAAAAACATATACCCTAAATTCAACGAGACAGTTCGGTCATATAAAAACAAACTTGAAATCCATATTATAAGGGTTTCAGTATAAAAGTTGCTTACTTTTCCATTTCTCTGTTCCAGTCGAGACAGTTTCATTTTACTCTCAAACTAAAATTCGGCAACGGAAAAAAATTAAAAAGAAAAAAAAAAGAAAAGAAAAACTTACAAGGAGATTGATCGAGATTGGAACCGGGTGCGGGCGAGGCCTCTTTCTTCTTGATGCTTCTGGTTTTGGTGGCAGGGGTGCGCTTCACCGCAGCGGATTCTGCGGTGGTTTTAGCGGCGGATTTCCTCGCTGGCGGTGTTTTTTTGGGGGTTGCCGATTTGGAAGAGGAATCGGCATTTCGAGTTCTCATGATTGATGAACGATCGATCAATAGTCGCTAATCTAACGAACGGGAATTAAACCTTTGTATGTGAAGTGAAGTGAAGTTTCCAGCTTCCTCTGCTTTGAAAATCTCTCAATTTTCTCGTATGGAATCGGTGGAGTAAAAGAGATTTTGCTCCCCTGCGGTTGTGACTTCCACCTGCGCCCCCTTGCAGTTATTTACATCGTCTTTCAATTTTTTTTAATTTATATTTTCTCATGCTATACGATTATCATAAATCTTTTTAAATTTATTTTAATAAATTTGTTATATAATTCTTTAAAATAAATTATTTGTATATTATATTAAAAACATTTATATTTATATTTATGGAATAAAAAATATTTAAAAGAATTATTAAATAAAAGCTTAATTAAACTACAAATTGAAAGTACTGAAGGTAAATAAAGACTTATATCAGTTCGATCTTATGTCGTTAAGAGTCTTTGTCAAGAAGGTTGGGTCCAATTTTTTTATTTTTAAATGAGTAATATTGTGTTATATTATAATAATTTTTGTCATTTTTTAAAAATAATTAAAATATGTCTAAAGTTACAAAACAAGACCTAAAAAAATATGTAATAATACAAAAATTAATAAAAAATAAATATTAGAAAATTACTATACTCATAACATTAAAAAGTTACAAGTTTAAAGAAAAAGATAAAAAAAATAATAGTCATATCTTATTTCATTCACACAAGGATATTATACAAGTGAATAAGAACTAACTAAGCTGAAAATTTTATGATTATATAATATTTATTTAAAATCATGTATGTTATCAAATCATGTATCAAATTAAAGTAAATTTAATTGCAGTAATTATCACAATATACATGATATTTTCTTGGATGACTATAAAAGTTTTATTACTGAAAAAGTTTTAATTTAAAAATAATTAAATTTTAAAATGAAATATTAAAATAGATAAAATTTACAATAACAATTTGTAAAAAAGTTAAAACTACCACACACTTAAGTGTGAAAAGTGACATAATCTAATACACAAAGCATAGTAAAAAGATGTATGAGAGTATCACATTCTAACATGTTAAATTAATTAGAAAAAGTGTTATTTTAAATGAAAATTTCTACTTTAATAAGTATTATGGTGTACAAGTATTTGGAAATGTGACATTATTACATGCTACAGCGTAGTGAGTGGCGCTAGTTGGAAGAATGTCATTCACTTCGTGTTGTTATGTGTAAATTATTGATCTATGATGCATTATAATTTTGCTAAATGAACCTTTTTCGGTATGTACCTTCTTGTAATGATTCAATCATAATAATTTTTTTTTCTTGTTTTGCAATAATTTATTTGAATTAATTTATTCTTCTTTTGCAACTACCAATGTTTTTGTTATATTTTAATTTTGTTATCTATTTATTTTTTTAGTTAAGGGTATTTATGATATTTTATGCATATTTTAATAATTTGATGCTAAGTTAAATAATGTTCAATTATGTTAAAGTCTAATTTTTTTATTGGAGTGGTTATTATTTATAGATATAAATAAATAGTTTTTAAAAATGGTAGAATATATGAAAAAATAAAATTTGGAGTTGTTATGTGTATGAATGTAGAATGAGTGGTGGAGATGCACTTATTACCCTACATAAACCTTGACTTTTAGTATGAGAACATGAGAATAAAGTTCTAATAATGCTAATCAAACAATTATATTCATCGGTTTCATTATATTAACTATAATTATTATAAACAATCCTAATGTTGCACTCGTAGTCATACAAGGTCCAACAAGAGTTGAGATTCTATTTCTCTTTTACTATATAATAGCTTGTAACACCCAGTATTTTTAAATATTAATCAAAGAATTATATGATATTAAGTGTGATTGGAATAGATTTAGATGAAGTTTGAAAAATTTTTTTTTTAAAAGTGAACAGTAAGTCAGTGTAAATAGTAATTCTGACAAGAATAGTACTTAAAATTTTTTTTCAAAATTTTACCTATAAATAAGGGGTCTTGCACGAAATTTTCTATTCTTTACACTTCTTAAAGGTTCTAGAAAAACCAAAGGTCATATACTAACATTTTCTCTCATACTAAACCCTCTTAAACTTATATTTCTCTTCAAATTTGGGATTATACGTTCATTCTAAGCGATTCGAAGTAAGTTTTTCTAAGTTTGAATTTAGATTTACCGTTCATTTCTCTTCATCTCAAGTTTCTTATAAATATCTTATGATTTTTAGGATAAACTTTGATTTTAAAGCAAAATCTTCGGTTAAATCTTTGAAAAATTCTTATCTTAAAGTTAGGAATGGAAACAGGCTAGGTCAAGTCAGGCTTTACTTTAAACAAGCTTGATCTGTAACATAATTATTAAGCATAAACCTGGTCTGTTACCTGTTAAAGGTTTTATTTTCAGTCTGGCCTAACCTAAAGCCTCTTAATAAAGCTATTACAAAAAAAAATCTTCATATTAATGAAAATATAAATATTTTATAATCAAATTAGTTTATATATTTTTTTTACTTTTCATTTGTGTTATTGATAATTATTAAATAATTGTAATAATTTTATATAATTTTATAAATAATTTTTAAAATATTATTAAGTACTAATTATAAATGTTTCATATTAAATAAATTTTTATTTATATTTTTTTATTTTTAAAAATTATTAAATTATTAAAAAATTTAGTTTTTTTTAGGATCATATTTTATTTGTTTAAAAATATCTTATATTTAATTAATAAAGTCATAGTAAACACATAAAATTAATCAAAAAAATAACATTCACACAATTTATTGAATCAGCTGAAAGAAAATTATTATATTTTAAAAAATAAATATATTTAAATTTAATATACTATGTATATATATATTGACAATAATAATAATTATTAAATTAAAATAAAAATAAAATAATTACAAAATATTTAATTTTATTTATTTCATTAATTTGTTATTTTAAATTAACAAATACACATAAAATTAACAACACTATAATATTAATATAATATAAAAAAATATCACTGATACAATAAATTAAAATATATATTCATATATAAAATATAAATAGATAAATTATCTAATAATTTAATTTTTTATTTATGTAAATATTTATAAATTATTGAATTTCAAATGTATGTTAATAACTATAATAAAAGTATTAAAGATTTTATTTATTTTTATATGATAATTATATTTTATTTGTGTAAAGACATCTTATATTTAATAAATAAAATCACAGTAAACACATAAAATTGATAACAAAAAATAATACTTACCAAATTTCTTGAATCATCTAAAAGAAAATTATTATATTTAAAAACATAAATAAATAGTTATTGTAAAAATTATAGATAAAAAATATTTATATTATAAAATTCAAGGATGCAGAAAAATAACATATGAGCATAGTAAGAATTAATAAAATTTATATTTAAATTAAAATAACTTATATTTTTAAACTTTTATCTTAATCAAAAAATATGTAATAAAACTTTATATATATATATAATGACAACAATAATAACTATTAAATTAAAAAAATAATTATAAAATATTTAATTTTATTAATTTTTATTTTAAATTAACAAATATACATAAAATTAACTATACTATAACATTAATATAATATAAAAAGTATTACTGATACAATACATTATAATATATATATATATATATATATATATTATAAATTGATAAATTAATTAATAATTTAATTTTTTTCTTTATACTTTTTTAAATATTTATTAGTTATTAAATTTTGAATATATATTAACAACTATATTTTTTTTTAAAAAATCTATTTACATCTATGTCAAATTCATGAAAAATAATTATTTAAAATTTTACATATTTATATTTAGATATGTTGTTGTGTGTTATGTATCTGGTATGTAAAATTTTTTTATAGGTAGCTTTACTCAAAATATTTATACTAATAAAAATAAAATACATATTAAGTTATAAAAAATCTATATTATTATATATAATTTCTTTAAAATTATATTATTTACTATATGGTCTTATATATATATATATATATTATATGAAATTTTTTATTTTATTTTTTATCATTTTTTTATAAAATTTTAGTTTCAAATAAAATATAATTCATATTTAAAGAATTTTTATTTATTATAAAGAAAAATAATTAAACATAATATATTAATATAATATTATCATTTTATTTTTTAATTTTATTTTGTTTAATTTTGATTACATCTTATTCCTATTAAAAAATTTAACCACTCTTTAGCTTATTTTTAAATGTAACAAATATGATAATTTATTATTAAATAAATTTATTATTTAAAAAGTGTAATCATGTATAAATATTTTAATTTTTAATAGAATATAATTTTTATTTATTATAATTATAAATAAAAAGAATTATAACATAATATATTTATTTAATATAACAAAATTAAAATATATTATTAAATAACTTTATTAGATATACTAAAAAAGTTCATACTTGTTCTAACAAGTGGTATCAGAGCCCGGATCCCCAGGTAGTGCCACATAGATGTGGATGTGGGTGTGCACGGTCCTAAGTAGGGCCTGGTGCGGCGAGGCCAGGAACGGGCAAGGGTGCCTCTAAGGTGGGCTCTAGTGTTAGAGGCCCGATGTTAGAGGACTTCGTTCGATGGGGAGATTGTTGGGATGTGCGAACAAAGTTCCCACATTGACTAGAATCGGAGAAGATCAAGGGCATATAAGTATGATAGATCTCCATTAGTATGAGGCCTTTCGGATGATGTCCAAAAACAAAACCATGAGGGCTTAGGCCCAAAGTGGACAATATCATATTAGTGTAAAAATAGATACAGTTCTGATTTAAAAATAAGAGTAAACATAATAAAAATGATGATAGATTGAAACTTTTGATCAAACTTACAATATTGTAGTACAAAACTTCTTGTAAACTTCTCAAATAGACGTCAAGACTATTACAATGAAAGAGTTTTCTTAAGGATATTGGGGTTGATAGTTTTTCTCGTCCTTTCAAATGAGCTTGAGCTTACAATTTATAGTAAGAAAAATTACTATTCTAGGATTCCAAATAATAATTTCTCCTTTTGTCATTTCTTCTTTATGTCAAGTCTTTTGTCAAATCTCTTTTTTCTTTATGTCATATCTTCTTTTTCTTTTGTCTTTTTCTTCTTTTCCTTTTGTCAAGTCTATCATCTTTTGTTA